GGAGCCCCCCCGGGGTGGGGTTTTTTTTTTTCCCCCCCCCCCCCCCCTTTTTTTTTTTTTCTCGGCTGCTGTTGAGTTTCCAGCTGAATCCTGTCCCACTCGAGAGACTCTGACCGCACCGGTGGTTTTTTTTTTTCTTTTTTTTTTATTTTGGGGGATTGGTTTTTTTTTTTTCCTGTTGGCATTACAGAGCTAGTTCAAAATATTTTTGGCTAAAATGAGAATTAAATGGAGATTTAGTTTTATGATATGTCAAGAAATAATAATAATAATAATAAAGAATAAGGTTGTAAACCCGAGTCTTTGGCTTATTGAGGTCCCGGCGGAGGCTTGAAAGATCTGGGAGCCGTTTCCAAACGAGTCTGGCTTCAACTGCGCACCAGAAATCGGGGTCCAGGTCCCCCACAGCCCGCCTGGCCTTGCTGGTACAGAATCACCCGTGAGCCTCCCGGTAAACAGATGTGCTTTAAATCCCGCCTCGTTAATCTTGACCTAATCCTTCCTAATTAGATTAGGTCAGGCCCAGAGCTGCGTGTCCGTATCCCTTCCTGAAGCAGCCGACTCACTCTTAGCCACCTCAAGAGCCCGTCGCGGGCAGCACCCATCGGCTGAGCTGGCGTCACCGAGGGACCAAAGTCCCTTCGGGCTCGGTGACAGGGGTGGCTTGTGGGTCTGCCAGCTAGGGAAGAGCAAAAACCAAAAGAGTACTCCTCAATCTCTAGAAAATGGCTTGTTTGTGCACGGACTCGGTGCCTGGAGGCTGCTGGGCTGAGAAGTTCCAGGTTAAAACCTCTCCTTCGTTAACAGCCGCCGCCCTGAACGTTCCCCCGGTGGGTGACGAGGCCCGAAGGCCTCGTTTTTGTAACCACCCCTGCTTCTCAGATTTATCTGCTTGCTGGGGTTTCTTGGGAATTGTGTTTGTTTTCCCAGGTCTGCAGGGCTCGCACAGCAACACCACGCGTGGGAGGAGCAACACCGAGTCCCTCGTTAGCCAGAAGGACAGAGAACATCTTCCAAGCCCTACCAGGCTGCCCGCCATCACGTAATTATTGCCCTCCGCTATTCTTTTTCTGCATCACGGGTTTTTTTACTCGTGAGACGATTGCCTCGCGTGGCTCTCACAAGTTCTGCTGCTCGGCCCATCCTCAACCCCAAGCCCTGTCCCGCCGTCACGTCCCCAACCTTGACGGTGTGGGGACAACTTCTTGTGGACGTAAAGCCCTCCCCGTCGGGGATGGTGGGTTTTGGCGTCTCCCTTAAAGTTCCTGATCTGGCACCTGTGTCCAGCCGGAGTAAAACTCCAACCCCAGATCTTCTATGAGCCTCCAGGTTGCAGGATGACCCCAACAGTGGACACGAGGTGGCCACGAGCTCAATAGAGCACTCTTTTATTCATTTTTTTTCTGTTTTGTACACAAAATTTACGGTTTCTCGCTACCACGTCCTCATCTGGTCCCGATGGTGACTTGCCACACCCGGACGAGGTTATCTGTGTAGCCGGCAAACAGGGTCTACGGAGAGAAACAGAGTCGGGTCGCGGGAAGGGTCGGACGGCCAGCAAGGTGGGGCCTCAGGACATGAGGACAAGGGACTGTGGTCCTCGGAGGGCAAATCCCGAAGCGGAGAGGGACCACCATCAGCCCCAGATGTTGGGAAGATAAAGGGGAAGAGCTCGACGGTTGGGAAGGGACCCGGGGAAGGAAGGGACCCAAGGAAGTTCTTGCCCTCGCTGGCAGAGATGGCTCCAGGAATTGAGAACAAGTGTCTTCGCGGTCCCTGTGCTCCGAGAGCAGCAGGAGGGTCCCCAAAATCCTCGTTCCCCAGGGCTGGGATGCCGGGACAGGGAGAAGGGGATGGTTTTTACCTGCCCGTCTGCGGACCAGGCCAGGGAAGTGCACTGGGGTGGTTCAGCTTTGCTGCTGGTGCTGATCACTTCCTGCTTCAGCTCGTCCACGATGATTTTGCCTTCCAAGTCCTGCAGGAGAAAGAAGAACGTGAAGGAACAAGGGGTCCTGCAGGGAAACTCCCACGACCGAATCCCAACCCAACGCGGGAAGGCCGTGAGGGAACAGAGGGTCGCTCAGAAACAGCCTCTGGATTTCCGCACAGAGATGCAGTCAGACGGCATTGAAGTGTTTCATCACGGCGTGGCGGCTCTGCCCTACGGCCACCGCAACCCTCCTCGGCCAGGGGACGAGGCCACGGGCGCCGGTTGCTGCCGCGTGACCCACGCCGGTGGGGACGCTCCTCCAGGAGAGCTCCTCCTCCGTGATCTGTGATCCAAAGTGAGGATCTCGACCGTGAAGGCGACTCCAAACCCGGCACAACCCAAAAGCTGAAGGAAGCGAGTCTTCCGGAGGAACCCTGCCCAGATGGGGACAGAGAGGGGCTGAGGAACCGCGCGAACCCAAAAGCTGAAGGAAGTGAGTCTTCCGGAGGAACCCTGCCCAGATGGGGACAGAGAGGGGCTGAGGAACCGCGCGGCGACATACCCAGATCTTGATGCTGGGTCCGGTGGCGGCACAGAGCCAGTAGCGGTTGGGGCTGAAGCACAGGGCGTTGATGATGTCTCCTCCGTCCAAGGTGTAGAGGTGTTTGCCTTCATTCAGGTCCCACAGCATGGCCTGGCCGTCCTGCGGGGCAGAAGGAGGAGTCAGAGCAAACCCCAACGCTCGTCACCCGCGCCCGGATTCGTGTGTCCCCCCCCCGAGGCGGCCTTTTTTTCCCCACCCCAACCACAGTTAAGCTGGAGCACTTTGCCGCGAGCCAGCGCGGATTCGGAAAAGTTAAAGGACCCAGCAGGAAAATGCAAAGAAAACGCATCGAGGGCTGAAACGTAAGAGCTAAAGAAGATCCCTGCAGCTGGGTGAGCGCCTTTGCCGTGGTCTTCCCTCCTTGCTTGACATCTGCTACTAGGACCATCGAGTCAGGCCAGATCTCTGGGCTGTTACCACCCCACTCAAGCCGTGACCAAGACGTGGAGCCCGTTCTCAGGGTGCGAGACACAGAAATGAGCCGCAACTGCCGGTAAGACGCCAAGATCTCGTCTCGGGGCCTCAGCCTTCCCCCCCCGGTGACACGTACCTTGCCACCGGAGGCACAGAGGGAGCCGTCGGGGGAGACGGTCACGGTGTTCAGGTAGCCCGTGTGCCCAATGTGGTTAGTCTTCAGCTTGCAGTTAGCCAAATTCCAAACCTGGGTGGGGAAAAACATGGGGGGCAGGAGAAAAGGGGGTTAAACACTGTTACTGCACCCCAATTCTGGGGATATGGGGGGGGGACCCTTCCCCGGAGCACTCCGGCTGCTCCAATCCTCCCGCCCCACCACTGCGGATCAGCTGGGGGAAGCCGATCCCACCTCACCTTCACCAGCTTGTCCCAGCCGCAGGAGACGATGATGGGGTTGCTGCTGTTCGGGGAGAAACGCACGCACGACACCCACTCCGAATGACTCTCGTCCTGGGGAAGAGGAACGACGCCGGGTTCACGGCGAGGAAACGCGGCCGGGTCTTCCCCGCCCCGTCCACGGGGCGCTGCAAGATCAGACCTGCCGCATCCCGTCGCTCCGCAGCTTTCCCAGGCCTCCCCCTCGTCCCCCATCCCTCATAATTGCAGGACCTGTCCTCAGACAGCCCCCCCCCTCAGGGAGAGGTCAGCAGGCAACGTCTCACTTCTAATCATTAGGACGGGGCTGGGAGACCTGGATTCCCGATCAAAAGCGGTGGGAGCGGACCTAAAACCACGTCCACGGAGGTCCTTTCTCACGGAGGTGTGATTTGGAAGCCCGCCTTTCTCGGCTCACCTGCACCGTGTACTTGCAGACGCCCAGGGTGTTCCAGAGCTTGATGGTCTTGTCCCTGGAGCCCGAAACGATCTGGCGGTTGTCAGAGGAGAAGGCCACGCTCAGGACGTCCTTGGTGTGGCCCACGAAGCGACGGGTGGTGGTGCCGCTGAAGAAGACAGAAACAATGGGAGATCTCGCAGAAAAATTCCTCCGAGGAGGCGGAAAAATTCAAACATTTGAAGGAAAAAGAAACAGGGAGCGGTTTACAAAAGGGTAAGGAGCGACGGTTCCCTTTCTCCTTCAAAAGAACAACTTTGGAGAAGGATTGGGGAAATCGGGATGAGTTTATCCTGCACGCACGCCTGGCCGGCTCTGCAAACGTCCACCCTCTTCTCCTGGCTGTACCCCCAATTCAGCCCAAAATGCCCCCAAAAGAAGAGCCCGAGCTCTGCCCTGCTGCCTCTCCGATGCTTCCCTCCCATCATAATTGCAGGACGTTGTCTTCAGATCCCGGAGGATCAGCGGACTTTGTGTCAGGTCTAATCATTGGGAGAGGGAGCCGAAGAAGAACAGCCCGAACGCCCCGATTCCTGCCTCCATCGAAAACCGCGGTGCCGACCACGGAAAACAACCCCTGCTGGGATTCCTCTTCCAACCCAAGAGCAAATCGTCTCGGTTTCAAGGTGCGTCGACGACCTCACCCCCTCTCCCAGCGCCCCAACGAAGCGGGGAAGACACGCTACGCCCCCCCCGGCCCCGCCCCGGCCCCAAAAAAACCGAAGGGTGCCGTCCCAGGAGCCCGAGAGAGCGAACTGCCCGTCGGAGGAGATGACCACGTCGCTGACGAAGTGCGAGTGGCCGCGCAGAGCTCGCTGCGGGATCCCGTAGTTGGTCTCGTCACGGGTCAGCTTCCACATGATGATGGTTTTGTCTGCAGGGGAGGCAGAGAGGGAGGTAAGGGGGGGTGTGTGTGTGTGTCATCTCGGGGACCGCAGCCCCCTGCCCGCCCTTCTCCTCACCCACAGGAACGGGGGAGCTGCCGAAGAAAACGGGGTGACCGGGTCTCTGCTCCTTTGCCCCCTCCTGCCTATCGCAAAGGCCAGGGCCCTGCCTCCTCTCCCCTCCTCCTCCTCAGCACCTCTGCCCTGCTACACCCCAGCCCTATCCCTAGGCCGGACTACCCTAATGGGGGGGGGCTCCAGCCTGTCCCCCCCCATATCCCTGGGCCCACAGTCTCTCCGCTTGGCTGACGGTCTCCCCTCGCCCCTCTCCCCTTGCAGGCTCACGGTATCCCTGGGACTCCTAGATCATGGTCTCTCTTTCCGCCCAAGCCCCACGGCCTTCCCTGCCCCTCTCCCCTCCAGGGTCATGGTCTCCCCTTGCCCCCTCTCCCCATGGCAGTCTCCCTGAGTCCCCTAGATCATGGTCTCTCCCTCCTCCCAAGCTCCCACGGCCTTCCCTGCCCCTCTCCCCTCCAGGGTCATGGTCTCCCCTTGCCCCCTCTCCCCACGATGGTCTCCCTGAGTCCCCTAGATCATGGTCTCTCCTCCCTCCTCCCAAGCTCCCACGGCCTTCCCGGCTCCTCTCCCCTCCGCGCTCATGGTCTCCCCTTGCCCCCTCTCCCCACGATTGTCTACCTGAGTCCCCT